CTCATCGTACGTAGCATCCGGATTGACAATCTTGTACTGGTTGATGGCCTTCTGCTTGTTGGCCTGGTTGTATCTGTCTTCGATTTTGGCCAGCCTGGTGATCGAGGCTCTGAACTGGGCGGTCAAATTCTCGGCCTGTTTCTGCTTGTCGGTGTCGGAGCCGCACTCTTTGTACAACGCCTGCAATTTCGGCTTGATTGTATTTTTCTGGAGGTCAGAGAGCGTATTATTGTTATTGTCAATTTGTCTCTGGAAAGAGGCCATCTCCTCGGACCCTATCGCGTTTAGGGAGTCCAGCTGAAGCTTTTCCAGTCTGTCAATCAACGTATTGTAGTCTGAAAGGTCGTCCTTGATGTCCTGGACGAGCGTGAAGAACTGGTTCGTGCCGGTCATCTCGTACGCCGAGTTCTCGGCGTAAGGGTTCCCGTGGCCTGCAGCGTACGGGTTATCAATCTAAAACGTTAGCGCCCACATTCAACCGCCCATCCGTCGGCCATTGGCCATACTTACAGTGCTCATTTTAGGGTTCTAGTCCTTTATTTTCCAGGCGGAACAAAAAATAGTTATCAAAAGAATTGCCAGACTATACTTTTTTTGAAAAGCCGCGGTGCGAGGGTGGATGACGCTCCTGTCAAAGGGACCCGAGCTGGGGGCGTCCTGGTGGGCGTAGGGTCGGGCAATCTGCCCGTTTGGTACTGTCGCGCGCAATCTTCTGTATGTGTTGCTGCGGTTTCCTTCCACAGCGCCCTGGAGCCGTTGGGAGCATGCGTTTCGGCTCTTGAACGCTTTTTTGCACAGCCTTGTGTCTTGACATGAAAAATAAAAAAAAAATGATGTAGGGTGATTTTCTGTATATGCCTTCGTCGTCGGTTTTGCCCCAGAAAAGAGGCTCTGAAATAGGCTCGTCTGCAGGTAAGCGCCAAATTACCATCAAACAGACGCCTGAGGAGGAGGCCAGAGCAAAAGATTATTTTCAGCCGCATATTTTCGATGATAACTTCAAACAAGACCTCAAAAAGCAGATCGCAGATTCGCAGCCGTATCGATGGGGGACAATCCAAAACTTGATTGATGATGATCTTTTGCGTAACGTGCGCAGAGAAATCATTTCTGAGATCAGTTTCAAGAAGAAAGAAACAGATATCTACAAAGTGTTCCAGAGCGGTGATCTCGCCAATCTTTCGGGTATGACCAAGCAGGACCTGGAGCGGCTGCCAAGTCTCTACAAGCTGCGGTCTGCCATTTACTCTCAGACTTTTCGTGACTACGTGTCTTACGTGACGGGCTGCGGGAAGCTCAGTGGAGTGAAGACCGATATGAGCATCAATACGTACTCAAAGGGCTGTCATTTGCTCACGCACGATGATGTGATTGGCTCCCGAAGGGTCAGTTTCATCCTGTACATGCCAGAACCGGGAAAAACATGGAAACCCCATTACGGAGGCTCATTAAGACTGTTTGGGTCTGTCGTGCCCAACGTGCCTAGATCAGACTACTACTGCAAATTGACACCGCAATTTAACCAACTAGCATTTTTCACTGTGCAGCCGGGGCTCTCTTTTCATGATGTCGAGGAAGTGCGCGTTGACAAGCAGCGACTTTCCATCCAGGGCTGGTTCCATATTCCGCAGGCTGGCGAGGACGGATATATTCCTGGAGAGCAGGAACGCACGGAGGCCAAGTCGACGCTTCAGCAGCTCGAGTCAAAGGAGCTCAAGGAGTACGATTATCCGAAAATACAGTACAACGAGCTGCCTCTGTTGGAAACGCAGGAACTGTGCACTTTAGTTGGGAAAGAGTCGGAGTATCTGTCAACCTTAGACCTTGAGTATTTGCAAAAATACATGAATCCATCTCTGTTGACGGCTGGCTCGATTGAGCGTCTTAACAACATTTTTGCCGAGGAGTCGGTGGTGGACGTGCATATGTTTCTGAGCGAGGAATATCTGGGCGACCTGAGAAAACAGATGAAGCAGCTCGAGCTGAACGAATACCCGGGAATGCCCCAGAAACAGGATCAGGTTGTCTTTCCGTGGAAGTTGGCCGTGCCTCCACACAAGCAGAGATACTGCTATATTGACGGGTTGCAGAAACAAAATATCGATAGTGCACAGAGCTTAGCGCAGATAAACCTGGTGAAGCCCCTAGAGCTGCCGAATTTCGAGCTCACGAAAAACATATTTGAGCTTCTAAAGCCTCAAGTGGCTCAACGGCTTGAAGAGGCACGTGCAAGCAACCCATCGCTGACGAGCATTCACGACGTCTCCATACGGTTGTGTGAATTGGCATCTTTTTTCAAGAGTGTGAGCTTCAAAAAATGGCTAATGGCCGTGACAGGACTGCGTCCGACCCACGACCAGGTCCTTGCGCGCCGGTTCCGTCCTGGCCATGATTTCACGCTGGCTTCCAAATTGGACCTAGCCACCGACGATAGGCTTCTGGACGGCCTTTTGGAGGCTACCTTAAACCTAACACCGTCTTCTGGCTGGGAAAGCGGTGAATTTGGCGGCTATGAGCTCTGCATGGGTGCAGACGAGCCAGACGCCGAAGATACTACCGAGGAAGGCCTGAACGAAGACGAGGCTGCCATCTACAAAGCGTCAGGGGAAGATTCTGTTGTCTACGAGTCGCAGGCCTGCTGGAACAAGTTGAGCCTGATGTATAGAGACTCGTCTGTGCTGAAGTTTGTAAAGTACGTGAGTTTCAACGCTCCAGGTTCCAGATGGGACGTGAGTTGCGGATGGCTCTGTGCCAAGGACGAGTCTGAGGAGTCCGGGTAATAGGTTTATGTGTTTTTTTGATAATCGACTTTTTGGATTTTTTGGGGATTTTTTTTAAATTTTTTCCTAATCGTGAGTCTTGTTTGTTCTTTGTATGAACAGACTGATTAATCAAACTGCCAGAAGCTGTTCGATTATCTACAAGAACAAGACTATTTTTCTTAGACCTGCCCATTTAATATCTTTGAAACTTGCAAGACCAATCATGACTTCTGCTGTGGATGCTCTTTCTTCCAAGCTCGATTCGCTGAAGCTACAGGCTCCTCCTGCAATCGAGGGCTCATTCCCAGAGTACAACACTGTGGACCTATGCAGAAATTACATTGCCAACCAGCTGTCTGAGCTGACGGGAGTTGATGTCTCGATCGCATACCAGAGTTTGGAATGGTCCCTTGTTCTGGAGAACGGAGACCTGATCGTGCCTCTTCCTCGTCTGAGATTGAAGGGCGACCTTGATGCGCTGGCTAAAGAACTTGCAGAGAAATTTCCTCTTGGCGGCTATCTCAAAAAAGTGCATCCGGAGGGCAGGTTCCTGCAGTTTTTCTTCAACCCAGAGTTTTTACTGAAATACGTGGTCAAGGATGTTCTAGAACGCAAACAGGACTTTGGCTCTTGTCCGCTGGGTAAAGGTAAACGTGTTGTGATCGAGTTCTCCTCTCCAAATATTGCCAAGCCATTCCACGCCGGTCATCTGCGTTCAACCATTATTGGTGGTTTTCTATCCAACCTGTACGAAAAGCTCGGCTGGGAGGTAATCAGAATGAACTACCTGGGAGATTGGGGAAAACAGTTTGGTCTGCTTGCTGTTGGATTCGAAAAATATGGCTCAGAGGCGGAGTTGGAGTCCAACCCTATTCAGCATCTATTCGATGTCTATGTGAGAATTAACCAGGATGTGAAGGCCGAAGAGGAGGAGGCTGAAAAGACAGGTGTTCCTGTGGACGAGGCCAGCTCTGTCGACGGCGCCGCACGTGCTTTTTTCAAGAGAATGGAGCAGGGAGACAAGCAATCCCTGGGACTTTGGGAGAAGTTCCGTGCGCTGTCAATTGAGAAGTATATCGACACATATGCTCGGCTGAACATCAAATACGATGTTTATTCTGGTGAGTCGCAAGTGAGCCAGGAATTGATGGACAGAGTGCAAAAGGAGCTGCAAGAGAAGAAGCTTGTCACAGAAGACAGAGGAGCTTTGTTGATTGACTTCAAGCAGCTGGGCGAGAAAAAGTTGGGGAAAGTGCTTGTTCAAAAGAGCGACGGGACGTCGCTATATATCACACGTGATCTGGGGGCCGCTATTGAGCGTAAGGAGAAGTACCATTTCGACAAGATGATCTATGTGATTGCATCGCAGCAAGATTTGCACGTGAGACAATTTTTCCGTATTTTGGAGAAAATGGGGTACAGCTGGGCCAAAGACGAGCTGCTGCACGTGAACTTTGGCCTGGTGTTAGGCATGAGCACCAGAAAGGGAACCGTTGTGTTTTTGGACGATATTCTGGAGACAGTGAAGAGTGCCACTTTGGAGATCATGCAGAAGAACGCCGAGAAGTTCACGTTGGTCGAGGATCCTGAGGCTGTGGCCGACCTGGTTGGAATTTCTGCAGTGATGATCCAGGACATGCAGGGCAAGAGAAACAACAACTACGAATTCAGTTGGGACAGAATGCTTTCTACTGAAGGCGATACAGGCCCTTATCTGCAATATGCCCATTCCAGATTGAGGTCGATTGAGAGAAACTGTAATGTTGCGGAGGAGAAACTGCTTGTTGCCGATCTGTCCATCGAGAATCTCGTTGGCACAGAGGACCAGGTGAAACAATTAGGATTGGAGCCAGCGGAGCAGGCAAAGAGACTGAGCATCTTGGCCACTCAGCGCGAGAAAGTGGAATCGCTGGTGCGTATTCTTGTGTCATACCCGGATATTCTGCGGTATGCGTCGAAGAACCACGAGCCGTCGACGCTGGTGACGTATCTGTTCAAACTGACGCACCAGTTCTCGTCAACGTACAAAGTGTTACGTGTGATGGGCGAGAAAGAAGAGGTTTTGGAGGCCAGGTTGGCATTGTTCAGCTCTGTGAGACAGGTCCTCAACAACGGGCTCCGGGTGCTGGGCATTACGCCGGTTGACCGAATGTGAATTAATAATCAGAAAATAGAGTGGTAGCAAAAATCGAAATAAAAAACAGATCAAATTAAGTGAGTTTTATTGTGGATGGATTTAGCCTCTCCATAATTACTGGGCCTTTCAAATTTAGCATTTTCATAAAATGACTTTCAACACTATTGAGGACGCGCTCGAGGCGTACAAGAAGGGTGAATTTCTTGTTGTGATGGACGACGAGGACCGTGAGAACGAAGGAGACCTAATCATCGCTGCAGAGAAGGTGACTCAGGAAAAAATGGCCTTTCTGGTCAGGCACTCGTCGGGCTTTGTGTGCGTGCCCCTGAGCGCGGAGCGTGCCGACGCCCTTGATCTTCAGCCTATGGTGCCGCACAACACGGACCGTCATGGCACGGCCTACACTATTACTGTGGATTACGGCGAGGGCACGACGACGGGGATCAGTGCCCACGACAGGGCGTTGACTGTGCGGCAGTTGGCGAACCCGGACTCGAAACCGGCGGATTTTCTGCGTCCTGGGCACATCTGCCCGCTGCGTGCCCGGCCGGGTCTGCTCAGAGAACGAGTCGGCCACACCGAGGCTGCTGTGCAACTGTGTGTTCTGAGCGGTATGCAGCCGGCTGGCGCCATCTGCGAGCTCGTCAATGCGGACGACGGCCTGATGATGCGGTTGCCCGAGTGCACGAAATTTGCCCAGGAGCATGGACTGAAAATTATCTGTATCAAGCATCTTTTGGAGTACATGGATGAGAAAAAAATCTATTAAAAATAATGAATAGACTATTTGGAACCCGTAACAATTTGCCCAAGGCGACGCTGGGCGACGCAATCAGCAGCATCGACGAGCGCGCCGCGTCGCTGGACGTGAAGATCTCCAAACTGAACACCGAGCTCGCGACGTACCAGCAGAAAATGGCCAAGATGCGCGACGGGCCGGGCAAGGCGGCCATCAAGCAGCGAGCACTCAAGGTGCTGAAACAGCGCAAGCAGCTGGAAGCGCAGAAAGACCAGCTCGACGCGCAGAGCTGGAATATCTCGCAGGCGCAGATGACGACCGAGAACCTGAAAAACACCATGATCACTGTGGACGCCCTCAAGAGCAGCAACAAGGAGCTCAAGCGCACATACGGCAAGATCGACATCGACAAGATCGAGGCGCTGCAGGACGAAATGCTCGACCTGATAGACCAAAGCAACGAGCTGCAGGACTCGCTTGCCCGCAGCTACGATGTGCCGGACGACATCTCGGAGAGCGAGCTCGATGCAGAACTTGAGGCTCTGGGCGACGAAGTCGCCGAGGATGAGACCCCTGCGTACCTGGAGATGCCTACGTTTGTGGACGAGCCCATCCAGCCCGAGCAGGAGGAGACGGTTAAGGAGGGCGAGTTGGTGCAGTGATTCGAGTATATACAGCTATTCGGTGCGCTGCAACGCCATCAAATAGTTGCCCGTGTCGGGCAAGCTGGTGAACACCCAGCCCTGGAGCGGGAGATAGGTGCATCCTCTAGCGTCGACCACACGGAACTGTGTTCCGTCCACAAACTCGGCGATTTCGCGCCGGTCGATGTACTTGGAGTAAGTGTGCGTTCCGACAGGTACAATTCGCAGCACGTACTCGCCAAAGACGATCGTCGTGAGCCACGAGACGAGGTCTCTATTGATGGTGGATAGAAACAGAAAACCGTCCTTTTTGACGTGCTGCATTGCCGTCTCCAGCACGAGCGCGGGATATTCGACGTGTTCGAGCATTTCCATCATGGTGACGACGTCGTATTGATCATCTTTGTCGAGCTGTTCTATTGATTTTAGTTGATAGTCGATTTTGTCTGTAATCGCCGGGTCGAGCGTCTTGTGCTGGTTGGCGACGCGGATGACCTCCGGGCTGAGGTCAATGCCTCGCACGGACGCCACCATGGGCAACCGGGCAAGCGATTCGGACAAGATGCCGCCGCCGCAGCCGATGTCGAGGCACGAAAGCCGCAGCTGGCGGAGCTCCTGCGCGATGCGTCTATCGATTTCGGTCTGTATGGACTGCGCCACAGGGCTCGGCAGCACGTTGTGGTGGTTCCAGCCAGGCACAAACGTTTTCTGTTCGTCCGGCACGCCGGCATTGATTTTGATATGACTGCGCAGAGTCTCGTTAATGAAGTCCATGCGGACGAGGTTCATCTTGTGCAGGATGCGCTGCGGGCCGGTGGTGTCCCACCAGGACGCGGCGAGGCTGTTGAAGTGTGATTTTTCGGCCTCGGTAATGGCCGTTGACAGTCTTCTGAGAAACATAAATAATTTAATTTTAATTATTTTTTTATTTATTATGTCTTCTTCGGAGGAAGAGTTTGAGAGTTTGATTGCGACGCGCGAGCGGCGGGCAAACGCCGGGTCGCGGCTGAAGAAGTTGCTGGAGGCAGAGGAGGACGAAGTTCTGGGGGACGATGATGAGAATGTGCAGCTGCTGTTTGCAGAGGAGGGTGAGGACAACGAGTGGAGCGACGAGAGTGAACAAAGCGAGCAGGAGGAAGACGAGGAAGACGAAGAAGGGAACGAAACGGGCGGAGCCGAGGAGGAGGCCGGTTCAGGCTCTCCCGACGCCAATTCAGACGAAATGTTGTCGTCGTCGGAGCTGTCTGCGTCAGACACGGACGAGAGCGAGGGGGAGCGCGAATTGCAAAAGGAACAGAAGCGGCGCAGAAAAAAGATCGAGATCCCGGCGATCCGCAGGAAGCCTACTGTTTCGGCGCCGCGCAAGAGGCGCAAGGTCGACTTGGAGACGGGCGACAGACGGCTTTCGACAAGAACCACCACGGCACAGAATACGCAGGCCATCCAGGAAAAGCTGGTCAAGATGAAGGAGCGACAGTCGCACACCAAGACGCGCGTGCGGGAAGAGTACGTCGAAAAGACGCTGGAGGAGAACCTGGAGGAGGCAAAGGTGACAGAGGAAATGAATACGCTGTCGCTGAACCTGTTTTTCCAGCAGGAGGTTGAAAAGAAGAAGAAACAGCGCGACCTGATGAACAGCAAGCGGTTTCGGCTGATGGAGTATATTTCTTTCCAGAGTTTTGGCAAGCTGGTGACGCCGCAGGACGAGCTAGACCGGATCAGAGAAGAGAAGGAGAGAGAGGAGCTGGCGCGGCGTACGACAAAGAGGCGCGGCCGGAGACGTAAGAGCGAGATCGAGCGCGCACGATTGGAGGCAGAGAGGCAGCAGCAGCAGCAGCAGCAGGGAGACGTGAAGCAGGAGGAACAGGACAGGCAGGAAGAAGTGTTTGATGAGACGACGGTCGTCAAGGAAGAGACAAAGGACATTAATGAGGAAACGAGCGAGACGGGGAATGAGGCGACAGCGAAGGAGGAGGAAATAAAGGAGGAAACGAAGCAAGAAACGAAGCAAGACACCGAGGAGGCAGTCGAAGAGGCCATAGAGCAAGATGAGGTCGAAACCAAGGCCGTGCCGGTTGAAGGTCCCCCACAAAGGGTGGCCGTCCAGTTTATCGAGTCGCACCTGCGCAAGGACATCACGCGTCTGGAGCTGAAGACGATCCTGTTTGGCCCGCAGTCGATCGTCCCCGGCCCGCACCGCGACCCGCACGCTCAGACGATCTACACAATCAAGCGCGACTTCCAGAAAGAGCTGGACCTCAAGAAGGTCACCAAAGAGCGCGACGCGGTGTACGAGAAACTGCTGCAGCTCCCCAAGTTTGGCGAAACGTACCACACGGTGGAAGATCTGGGCGTCGCCAAGCAGACCGACGAGCACGTGATTAACATCACGACACCGGCGCCGTTGGGTATCTATCTGCCGAACGGGGCCAAGAAGCAGTGTCCGATCAACGGCGAGGACGCGATGTACTACGACCCCTCGAACGGCGTGCCGTACAACTCGGTCGAGGGGTACAAGGTGCTCAAGCACGTTGCCGAGGGCGGCTACTTTTGGACGCAGATCGACGCCGGCGGCGTCAACTCGCTGTACAAAGGCGGTGTCGGGTGCTATTTCGGCCGCTGGGACGACCGGCACGCACAGGGCGTGCCGGAGGGCTTTGCTGGATGATCGGGAGACGTTTATTGTGCTACAGATCTATGGAATGTCAGCTGGTGTTGTGTTTGAGTTCGCTCTCAAAGGTCGCGAGCAGATCGTTCTGGAAACGCTCGAACACCGCGCGGGCCTCGGGCACCAGGTGTGTGCGGACGAGGGCTCTTTTTTCGGCATCGCCGGTGACCTCGAACTCGAAGTTCTGCTGGTCGTGCTCGAACTCCACGAGACGCACCGTGTGTTCGGAAACAGAGCCGTCGTGGTCGACCTGGACGACAAACTCCACTTGCAGGTCGAAGATGCAACGCACTTTGCCCTTGCGCTGGGTCACGTCGCAGTCCCCGGCCACAGGCTTGACGCTGCTGACAGAGAGCGTGTGGTTGTCGCTTGCGACGCGCACCTTTGGCAGCCGCTGCTGGAAGTATTCATTGGCCCAGCCGATACAGTTCTTGTCGACCCAGTGCCAGTTGTTTGGGTTGTGTATGGTGGTCATGGCGAGAGCTGCTTGGGTGCTGAGATTATATACCACGATAAATCTAGAAAAATCTTTTATTGACCCGTGCGTCGGTTGGCGTCGAGAATATTCAGCAGCTGGCGGAAAAAAATGTCGCTGCACGGCTCGACAGCGAGGTTGTGCGCGGCGCCGTCGAGCTCGGTGTAGCTTGCGTGGGTGCATCCGGCGCTCTGTAGGTTGTCAATGAAGGTCTTGCTTGCCCGGCAGTCATTGATGTGGTCGGCGTTGCCGTGCAGAATGGCAATTGGCAGGTTTTTGTCGTAGCGAGTGTACAGTTCTGGCTGGAGCAGTCGTTTGCCGCGCAGCACAAAGTCGCGAGCCTCGATCGCCGTGGCCGTCAGCTTGGCCGGCGGCGTCTTGCTTTGGATGAACTGTTGCACCTCGGGCAACGACGAAACGTACTCCACCTTAAGTGGGGTCTTGATGCGCACGTACCGAGCAGGAGGAACGGCCCAGCACAGAGCACGGATCGCCCACTCGTGGTGCTTGGGCACCGCTGTTTCCGGCGAGAGCTCTATCAGCGGCGAGCACGCAACCGTCATCAGCAGCCGCTCGCGGTACGTGCCAAACGCGCTGTAGTTGAGAATCAGCCCGCCGCCCATCGAATGACCCATCAGAATCACCTTTTCGTCGGATTCCAGATTCCGTTTGATGAAAAAGTCCATATCCTTGTAGACGCGCGAGTCGTCGTTGCTGGATTGCACATTGCCAGCCGGCCGCGACGTGCCCTCGCCGCGCTGGTAGTGGAAATGTACGTCGTAGCCGTTGGCTGTCAGTACGTTGAAGAGCCCAAAAAAAAGCTCATATATGTCTCTGTAGCCGTGGATGAAGACAATGCGGCCTTTGTACTCGCCGCTGTGTTTGTGCAGAAAGGTGGGGAACACGCAGCCATCGTGGTCCACCTCTGCCGTCTCAACCGCGCACTCCAGTTGTTGCATGCTTAGTCCACCAAGATTACAGCAGGGTGTAAAAAAAGCCCGGTCACATCCCTGCACCGTCTCTGCTGGACATGAGTACTCCGGTGTGGCTAGTGCTGACAAACTCCGGCATAGTCCGCCAGAATTTTTATCCCGCAGGGGGACTTTGAGCGGCCATTTTGCGCGGTGGCCTAGCCGAAATGTCCAACTTGCTGGCCCAAACAAATAAATATAAATAGAGAGAGACGGAGTTTTTTAAAAACTTAACCTTTAAATAATCAACGCAAATATGAGTGAAGCTCAGTAAGTACGCAAACCGCCCCGCTCTAACCACCAGAGGTGATATCGGACTGATCGGACTGGCTGTCATGGGCCAAAACTTGATCCTCAATGCTGCAGACCACGGATTCACTGTTGTTGCCTACAACAGAACCGTGTCGAAGGTGGATCACTTCCTGGCCAACGAGGCCAAGGGAAAGTCAATTCTGGGCGCCCACTCAGTGGAAGAGCTGTGTGCCAAGCTGAAGAGACCTAGAAGAGTCATTTTGCTCGTGAAGGCCGGCGATGCGGTCGACAACTTCATCAACCAATTGCTGCCTCACATGGAGAAGGGAGACATCATCATTGATGGTGGTAACTCGCACTTCCCAGACACCAACAGAAGATACGCCGAGCTGAAGGAGAAGGGCATCTACTTTGTTGGCTCTGGTGTCTCTGGAGGAGAGGAAGGCGCTCGTTACGGTCCTTCCCTGATGCCTGGAGGAGCCCCAGAGGCCTGGCCACACATCAAGGAGATCTTCCAGTCGATTGCCGCCAAGAGCGACGGCGAGCCATGCTGCGACTGGGTTGGAGACGCCGGAGCCGGCCACTATGTCAAGATGGTCCACAACGGTATCGAATATGGAGACATGCAGCTGATTTGCGAAGCTTACGACCTGATGAAGAGAGTCGGCGGATTTAGCGACAAGGAGATCTCCGACGTGTTTGCCAAGTGGAACAAGGGCGTTTTGGACTCGTTCCTGATCGAGATCACCAGAGACATTCTTGCCTACAACGACACAGACGGCACCCCATTGGTCGAGAAGATCTTGGACTCTGCCGGCCAAAAGGGTACCGGAAAGTGGACTGCCATCAACGCTTTGGACCTCGGCATGCCAGTCACCTTGATTGGCGAGGCTGTGTTTGCCAGATGTCTGTCTGCCCTGAAGGAGGAAAGAGGTAGAGCAAGCACCCTGCTGGCCGGTCCTTCCAGCGCTCCAAAGATCACTGACAAGCAGGCCTTTATCGACGACCTCGAGCAGGCCCTGTACGCCTCCAAGATCATCTCGTACGCCCAAGGATTCATGCTGATCAGAGAGGCCGCAAAGGAATACAACTGGAAGCTCAACTTCCCATCCATCGCTCTGATGTGGAGAGGAGGATGCATCATCAGATCTGTTTTCCTGGCAGAGATCACTGCAGCCTACAGAGAAAACCCAGATCTGGAGAACCTGCTGTTCCACCCATTCTTCAACAAGGCCATTGCCAAGGCCCAGGCCGGATGGAGAAAGACGCTCGGCGTTGCCATCGAGGCCGGTATTCCTACGCCGGCCTTCTCGACCGCCCTGTCCTTCTACGACGGCTACAGATCCAAGCAGCTGCCAGCTAACCTGCTGCAGGCCCAAAGAGACTACTTTGGAGCGCATACCTTCAAGATTCTGCCGGAGTACGCCACCGAGGACAGAAAGGTTGGCGACTACATCCACATCAACTGGACCGGTAAGGGTGGTAACGTGTCTGCCTCCACTTATAATGCTTAGGTGAATAAATACGAATGGTAATTTGATTCCTGACACATCGACGCGTCGCTGTCTGTCGCCGTAGACGAAAATTTTCTCTATTTTTTTATTTTTTGAACCTGTCTTGTGTGACTGTGTTTTGTGAAATATTACCCCGGATTTCTTGATTAGATAACCAGGATGCCCGACAGCATCCCGCCCTCCGAAAACAAGCCGGGCGACGCGTATCACTTCGACGAAAATGAGATCTTCGACGATAACCAGCTGCGCCAGGCCATTGAGGACGCCCTGCACGCCGACAAGGACAAACAGCTATACACCGAGATCAACAGTGCGATTCAGGCCCTCGACGAGTCTGCAGACGACGCTAAGCCGGAAGACGAGCTCACACAGGCCATTGCCGAGGCCATTGACCACGTCAAGCCCGGCGAGCACGCAGACTCCGGCGTCGAGGTTCTGGCGCCACTCGAGTCGCTAGAGTCGCTCGGGCTGCCGCTGGACTCAAACGAGCCAGAGCTCGAGTCCGCCCTCGCTGAGATGGTGCAGACCGTGGTAGACACGAACTTGTTTCCGGACAAAAATGCCGTCAAGAAACAAACCGAGACAGACCTTGACCAGTTCCAATGGACCAAGATGATGGAGAAGGCGATGGAGATGGCAATGGAGAACCCGGAGCATTTGATTTCGTCGCTGAACGACGCAGAGCCGGCCGAAAAGCTCAGCAAGAAACAGACGGCCAAAAACAAACGCAGCCAGATCAACCTGGCTGTGCAGCAGCGGTTGCAGCAGCAGGCGCGGGCTCTGCTGGCGCAGCAACAGCGCGACCGCGAGCTGCGGCAGCGGCTGGAGCAGGAGAAGCAGCAAACGCAGAAAAGCGCTGCAGAGCCGCTGCCCGCGAGCGTCCTACAGTTTACCGTGCCTACGCCGCCGACGACGATTCCTGGCCCTGTGAAGAGCGGCGACAAAACGTCTGTGCTGGAACAGTTCCAGAAATTCCAGCGGCCAGACGATAAGTCGCCACCGGTTGCGGACCCGTTGGCCGCACAGCGCGAGAAGATGCTACACGACTACGCAAAGCAGATCTCGCGCACGCCGCCCCAGACCTCGCCGCCGCCCCAGTCGTACGCGAAAAAGTCGGAGGGCTCGTTTCTGCGCACCATTCTCTCGAGTCTCAATCTTGCCAATCTCGACACCCTACATATCGCCGAGCAGATATCGCCCCCGCAGCTCGAGTCCATCCGCGCCGGCGTGTCTTCGGCAGTTGACACATTGCGCAGCAGCCAGTCGCTCGCCAAGACCGCTACAAACAGCAGCGACAAGCAGGAATCGCCCAAGCTCGACGACAAGGAGCGTATCCGGATCGAAAATAGAGAGCGCAAGAAGAGATGGCGAGTTATAAATATCGAGCGCAACAGAGACAACGATTTGCGCGCGCGTGTCATCAAGCGGGCCGGCCAGATCTTTACTAACCCGGGAGACGAAGAAATCAAGAAAAAATGGATAGCCGAGGAGTTTGAGCGTCGCAAACGGAAGCGGCTCGAGAAAAACGGTTCCGACGCGCCTCTTGTCCACTCCAACGACCTTGATCACCGTTCCGAGTCTGTGGCCGCTCTTCTTGCCGATCCACAGGTGTCTGCCAATATCCACGCCTTATACCAGGCTCTCTGTGGAGCCATTCCGAGCGACGACAAGCTAGCAACCGTCTCTGTGCTGGCCACCTCATTGGCTGCTGCGTACGTTGTTTCCAACAAGTCGCTCAGCGAGAATCTTGTGCCGTCAATAGTGAGCTCGCTGGTTAACTCGCTCAATAACCAGCTCAACGGTCCCGCGTCCCAATCGGGAACGCTCAGTTTCAAAGTTATGGATCCAGCACCAAAACATGCCGCCGAGCCCAAACAGCACGGGGACGCAAAGAAAGTGAAAATAGACCCGGACCTCATCAATCTGCCAGAGCATTTATCCAAATTCGCCAGGCCCACTACGGAACACCGCGACCCTTCGCACCTGCGCCCAGCAACAGCATCGCACCAGCCGCGGGCCCCGCATTACCAGCGGCCATCAGCAGAGCCCAAGCCCGGCACGCCTACTGTGCGGTCGATTGTGTCCAAGACCCCTGCCTCAGACTCTGTGGGCGGACTGCGCAAACCAGGTGCGTTCAGAAAGCCTGTTGGCTTTGAGAAGCGCGGTTTTGGAATCGCTGCTCTGCCTCACAAAGACTAATACATGTATAATAGGACGTAATCAGTGATAGAAATCATATCGAAAGGCTATACGGTGATAAATGGGCTACTTGAACCATTACGCTGCTGGCTGTAAGTTCTGGCTTCGCGAACCGAACAGAGGAGGGCCCATGAAAAAAAGCTAAAAAAATGATCGCGCCCAGGATCGAACTGGGGACCCTCTGCGTGTTAAGCAGATGCCATAACCAACTAGACCACGCAACCAATCGGATGGCAGATTGCGGTGGTCTCTGCTGATGTATTCACGGAAAAAACACGTAAAAAGCTAAAAATGATCGCGCCCAGGATCGAACTGGGGACCCTCTGCGTGTTAAGCAGATGCCATAACCAACTAGACCACGCAACCGATTTCTGTGTGCTTGTCGGGTCTGCACTAACAGATCGAGACATGGCAAAATGGCGATGAACAGCAGGTGACCCAGGCCGGAGACCTGGCCATAAAACCACTTTGGTACCTGCACAATAACAAGCTTCCCCAAAAGCAGCCTTCCGTACATGGTCAGCCATAATAACTCGATTCCGTTATTTAATTTCACGCACTATTAAATTTCCAGCTTTAGTTCAGTAAACTTTCAATACTTGTTCGTTTTTCATCGCTTTTCAGAAGCATCAACACTCTCGATGCCTTTATCTCGCCCATCTCGTCCCCAGTAGTTGCCATATGAGCCACCTTCTCGTCCACGATTGCCGGCAGTGGTAGCTTGAATTTAGCGTTCGACGAGACTTGGCTACGCTCCGATGTCGAGATCGAGGAAAAATGCCGAACAGACGAAGATAGTCTGGATTTGCGGCTGATGTCCGGAGTAATAATAGGGCTGGGCAGCTGTGTCGGTAGCTGGTCTGATAAATTTCTTACGTCAGGAATGTCAGCCAGAGTTTCGTTGCCGTCGCTGTCGTGATTGAGCAGATTCTCTATCTCCCTTGAAACCGCGTCGAGGTCCTCATACGGCATATCGCCGTTGTTTCTCCATACCCGCATAAACGCTTCCTCAAAGCTGAAGCTGCTGTCTATTTTTCTATAAGACTGCAGGTCGAGGTCGAAGTCCACGAACTTGAGGTTGTCGTTCTTTGCAAGCCACTTTCGGAAGTATGAGCGCGTGTCTGCTGGCGTGAGCATCTGAAGCTTCAGCAGCTTGATCACAAGATGCAGATACTTAATGTATTCCACCGTGCTCTGCAAAATCGTTAGCTTGTGCATCATGTTTGAGTTGTCGAAGTTGTTCTCGTTAAGACCACTCAGAATGTTGAGTCGACACGCAGGCACCAGGAACTTGAGTGCCTCGAACTCCCTGTTCATTCTGACGCGCCGTTTCTTCTCGATTATCGAATGCTGGTTCTTCAGCTCTTTCTTCTTGCGCTCCATGTCCTCTTTGCTGGTTGTCGAGGACTTGCGCCGTTTTCTGCTGCTGCTCAGCGCCGGGCTGGCTGGTCCTGGCGACGGGGCGTCGACGGCGTACGTCAGGGGCGAGATCGACGGCGATTGGCCAATCAGCCGGTTCTTGTACTCATCGTTCGAAACAAACGACGACGTGAGGTAGCTGGAGTTGCTGGAACTGTCCATCTTTGGAGACGTGCTAGCAGACCCGGTCGGCGAGATGTTGCACGAGGAGCTGCTTCTTTGCATCTGGACAAACGTTGGCTTGAATATTGGGGGTGGGGGCAGGATGGCTGTTTCAACGGCCGACGTGCTGAGGTCGGTGCTTCGACCAGAACTGTTGGCATCCATGTCTGTTTGAAACGAAATGTTGCAACAATATTTGTGATGGAAGCAAATTAATTAGCGTTGTATGCGCGGACCAACTAACCGGCCAGAGAGAATGAGGCTGGTCTTGTGACCACCCACCCCACGTGTTAAGCCGCACAAGCTGGAAATATATCGCACGGGCCATTATTATGTCGTTGTGCGGCGAACAATATCTTGGGCACGTGCGTCCTTTGGGTCGATCGACGCGGCCGGGGACGAAACACGTCAAGCGTTGTTCCATTCATGTAACTCGCTACTCAGACTTAAGTATCATCTATCTTCCTTACAACCTGCTTTTCAGCGCGTGCTCCTGCACCAGACGGGCAACCCGATTGGCCAGCCCGTAGGAGTTCTGGTAGCCGGAGTGCGCCGAGCCGTAGTTGTGGATCCGCCAGCCGTCTCGCGAAACGTTGACGCCGCCCTCTCTGCCGGGCCGGATCCCAACAAACTGGCGCACCTCAACCAACTGAGGAGGGTTTTTCATAAACGCCGGGTCCACAAGCTCCGGCGCATATCTCAGTGCTCTCTCCTTGATTCGCCGGGTCAATCCCGCATCGATATCCACCGAATCATCGTGGTACAGATACGTCCCTGTCAACAGCGTCCCGTAGCCGGCCCGCGGAACAACATAGAGCGACTCTGAAGCATGCGCCGCATCCATTGCCTCGACAATTATCAGCTTGCGCGCCACGTTCTCCACCAGCAGCGTCTGGCCCTTAACAGGAAGCCGGTTATCCTTATCCTTGGTGTTGAGGTCGAAGCCGCGGATCCCTGCGCAATTGACCACTAAATCCGCCTCGACAAAATCGTCCCCGTCGAGAAACAGCGTCTTGGCCTCCTCCAGACTGCCCACAGTACGTCTGACGTAATTCACACCGCTCTGAGCACAACGATACAGCAGATAATGCAGATACTGCACCGGATTGATGGTAAATCCCGTGTATCGGAACGCAAAAACAATGTCGTCGCCGGCCGCGCCCGCCGGATACTCTCTGGGATCAATCTCCTCGTAGTTTCTCACCACGTCCTTGAACCACGGCCCGTCGTAGCCGGTCTCGGTCATCGACATCCGCGGCACGTAAACCTCCGCCACGCTTTCAGCGACCCCCGAGCCGGGCTCCTGGGCAACACGCAGAAACTCGTAGTACGACGCGATGTCCTGCAATTGCGCCAGCCAGCCTTTGCTGGCCAGCGAGTCCAGGTGGTAGAAGAACGCCCCCGCGTACGGACTCGTGTAGAACCTGGCCTCGTCTCCAGGCAGCTCCCTGGCCACTATGGAAACCAAATACCCGCGCCGGGAAAGCTCCAACGCCGTCGTCAGCCCAATAACGCCCGCTCCAATCACAACGATTCGTTCCTTCATGTAGGCTATTTCTTATCTTTTTTTTTTCCACTAATTCTCATTTTCCAGCGCATTTTTTATCACACCAATCACGGCTGTGCACTGAATCTTATCGCTGCCACCCTTGCTTATGCTGTACTCAATGTCACCCAAGCCCTGCAAAACGGCCATCCGCGTCCTTGGTTTGAGCTCGTACTTGTCCAACACGCTCACAAAGCTGCTCATTAGGTCCACCAAAGCAAGCCCCTCTGTCTTGCGGATTTTGGTCATCGTGGCATAGGCGTCCGTCCAGTCGTTCGACATGATCGCGTCCAGCACCGTCATCACAGATTGCGGTCTCGGAGCACCCACACACTCGTACACCATGTCCTGGGTGATCTCTTCGCCGGATTCGACCGCGGTAGCACACGCCTGCAAAACGTTGAGAGCCCGTCTCATGTCGCCTTCGCTCAGCTCCAGAAGGCTCTGGCGCGCGTCGGGAGCTATTTTCAGGCCCTCCACCTTGATGACGTGGTCCACACGGTCCTGAAGCGCCGAGTCGGCCAGCGGCGAGAACCTGAAGCGCGTGCACCGCGAAAGGAGAGCAGGGTTAAGTTTGTGCGAGTAATTCGCCAGAATGCAGAACCGCGTGTTCTTGGTGTACTTCTCAATAACCCGCCGCAGAGCATTTTGCGCCGCGTTCGACATCGCGTCGGCCTCGTCCAGAATGATCAGCTTGAACCCGCTGTTGAAAATCTGTCTCGTGCTGGCGAAATTCTTGATCTGGTCGCGCACCACGTCGATTCCTCGGTCGTCCGACGCATTTAGCTCAAGCACCATGTTTCTGTAGTTTTTCCCGTACAGCTCGCGTGCCAATGCGATGATGGTGGACGTTTTGCCTGTACCGGGAGGACCGTAAAACAGCAAGTGGGGGATCCGCCCTTCCTTTGCAAACTTGCGCACCGTCTGTATAACGTCATTCTGGCCACACACGTCGTCCAGCTTCGCTGGACGGTACTTTTCCACCCACGGAAGGTTGTCTGAGCTCATGTTGAACGCGTAAAAAAATGATTTTTTTTTTCCATCACGTAAGCGTATATTTCCGGCGTCTGGGTAGCCATGGCAACGTAAATGCGTCCGGCGGTTACTTGGCGCTGGGGTTATAGAGCATCTAGTGGCATATAAATACTCCTCTATCCCCCCTATAAACTTAACCCAGTTTAGTTTGCACCGTTTTCAAGCGCCGGCGAACTAAACGTGGTTCCGCCAGCAGTGGTGTCACTAAACTCAGAATCCGCTACCGTGAACGAGTCACACAGCCACGAAGCTTCTGGCAGCTGGCAACGTTAGAATCCAGTTGGAAGCTCCTGCATCGTACTCATTTTCCTCCCGACGGAGGCCCCTAAAGCCGGTTTTCTCATGCAGCGTTTAGAGATTGCCGGTGGATATCCCCCTGGCGAAATATGACCGGGTTTCCTAATGGGGGGATACGTCGACGCAGCCCTTGCTGCGGAGGGGACATATAGAACTTTTGAAATACTGAAAACTGATTTTAAACGTACCTCCCCTTACATGGAAAGGGAGAAGTATATCCCCCCCTTCAGATAGGGAGAGCGCATCCCCCCTATGGAAAGGGAGAAGTATATCCCCCCTTCAGATAGGGAGAAATATAAAATGCGTTCCCCCTATAGAAGGGGAGAAATGCATCCCCCCTTTCAAATAGAGGGAAGGCAAATTACATGCCCTCCCTGTTTGGGATGGGTAGCCTCTCCCCCTCCCCTATGGTCAGGAGAGCCGCATCCACCCCTAGTTTCGAAAGTATACTTCCCGTCTTTCTAGCACAGGGCAGTGGTGGAACCCCATACCGGACGACCTATGGCAGTATACTTTCACGGGCCTACCCCATCGTGATAGTAGTAGATCAATGTGTGGTATAACTGGAATCTTCCAAAGTTGGAAATGTTGGCAAAAAAACGAGATTTGGTAGCAAAACCTTAGAAATGTCACAAGTGTAGCAAAGTGTAGAAACGTCAAAGAAGTGGAACATCCAATTGCTATCCTGGTAAACGTTATACACCGGAGGGGGCATCCCCAGCAAAACGCACCAAGTGGACGGTTATATTGCTGAATTCTATTCGTTAGCGCTAACAACGTCGTCAGCCAATTGCTAAGCAATTCTTCAGAGGAATTCGATATCTGCTGACCTCGATTCAAGCTTCCAGGCCGTACTTCGTGCCAAGCCTGTGCAAAGCGTCGCTCGGTAATTAAACCCGCGCCAGCATCTGCACACACATTGACAGGTTCCTAGTCCTTTCAGTACCCCCGGATCAGGTTATAGAACCTATCCCGTTTCTTGCAAGCCACAATGGATGCCCCACAGTCCAGTGTCTACGTGAAGGCACTGCAGGTACTGGACTGCTATCCATCTGGCTTACAAGATCCGGTTAGTCAACGCAATGGGCCCAATTTATCTTAGATTGGACTCCAAGGCGAGGAAAACGGAGTCCTCCCAAACTAGCCAATCTGAGAGTATCGTCCGTGATGAACAGAGAGCTTCCTGAAGGGGGCACATCTGATGTACCAATAATGAGCAATCTGCTGTCCATGAAGTTATTTTTTGGGGGGTCGGCGCATTTATATAGTTTTACGTGGGCGGCTAATCTTCAAGAAGGCGCCCCATCGAACTGAGATCTCACCGCTGTCTGCACAGCCGTGCGGAATATTTAGTCCATTATTTTTCGTGGCCTATACTAAATCTATTTGCGTCTGCAAATTGTGACACATGTAATGGCATTCTAGTTCTGTCTTGATGGCGCGTTCATAGCGTTGCTCGACCTCAATACACGATTTGGCAAACCGTAACTCGTTTTTGGCAATTAGAACGCGAAGCAGAAGATCTTTAGTCTGGAACATCTTGCGCACTTCTGGACCAAAATCAGACTCTGTTGCTTCACGGACGTACTTTTTAACGACGTGCTTGTTGGCCGCCGTCCACGTGGTGTTATACGCACGTTTGAGCTCAGGCACCGAAAGTTGGAACAACTTGAAAATCTCCATAAAATCGTGATATATGGTGTTGATTTGAGCATCCAATATCTTTCCCGGAGAATGAAACATGTCCTTGAATTTCAGACACCACTCCATAACTCTCGTGAACTCAAGGTCATCTGTCTTACGATAGCGTGACGGGGCAAGGATGCCATTGATTCCAGACGCGCGCTTGTTCAGACGCGATTCAACTTTGTAGAAAAGGAACGAAATACGCGGCAGCACTAGGTTCTCGGCTTCGTCCAAAATCTTGGTCCAAAGTTGGGCAATAACCGCGTCAAAACACTCGGTCTCCATATTGTCGTAAAGCTCTTGTATCATGTGCATCTGCATCTGGTCAATATATTTGTCAATCTCGGGCTCGTTTAATGCTTTGTGATTCAATACGAAAGCGGTGGCAGGCGTCCGCCGCAGGCTCTCTTCCAAGTAAGATCGCGTGAAAATGTCCTTTGTCTCCTCTGAAAACCGGTCCACAAACAGCTTTATCGACCGGTCTCTTCCCTTTTTGATTTCCAGTTTTGCCTGGTCAACATAGAAAAGCGGGTCGTTCTTCTCCACAATGATTTGGATGCAAACATTGAGTCTTCCCGAATTAGGGCTCAGACTAAACTTCTCTTCCATAGGAACACCGTAGCTGTCTTTGAAACGTAATTTGTACGTGAGCGACTTGTAGAGTATGCCACTTTTCTCGATCAGGTCAAATCGCAAGTACCCTGACTCCTTGTCTGTGGAAGCCTGAAACTTCTCGTTCCACTCTGGATTGTAGTCCTTGGGAATGCACCGCGTGCGGCCACTAATGACTCCGGAAATCAGCACGTACAAGCTAAGAGGCTCTCCCCGGTTGTCCTCCACATTTTCGGCGCCCCTGATATCTACGGAGACAACTTTTTTTGCGTGCTTTGAGATGGATGCTGGTTTTGAGCTGAGAATCTTTGAGTACCTTGTCAGGTCCTCGGTCTTGAACTGATCCATGTACTCAAGAATCTTGAAAATATTGTTCAGACAAGTGCAGGACTCTCCTTTGAAATTGAGCAACTGGCCAGAGTTGAGGTCCTTCTCGATTCTTATAAACATGGTGTTGGAGTAGTTGATCAGGGTATCGGAAATACTGCGATACAGCTCTGCAAACATCTGCGCAGACTCGTGCTCATTCTCCCATTCGAAAGATTGCAGGATGCGAATATAAGCATTGCAAATTTCCAGCACGTTCTGAACACTTGAGCTATAGGAGCAGCCATCGAGTCGCTCCATATCGTCGCTCTCGATTGCCCTGTCTGTCTGTTCACGGATTTCGGAACCCCAGCTATTCACAAGGTCCAGCACATTCGGAAACAGGATGGACTGGAAACTCACATTCATGTTTGTCCTCTTGCGCAGCTTGGACAGAAGCTCGAGAAGCGTTGTCAAATTGGAATTTGCCTGATTTGCCGCGGCATCCTTGCTGGCAGTCTTGAGACCCATTATGAAGGCCTTCAAGTAGTCTTCAATGGGCCGCGTCAGGTATTCAATTGCAATTTTCATAAACTCGATTTTCTCGTCCAAATCGGCGTTCGTCAGTGTCCATTCCTCAATCTCATCAAAGTCGCGGTTGACATAAGCTAGAAGGTTGGCAATGAACTCGATCTTCGACTTGTTCAATGAGAGTTTGAGCTCCTTGAAGTGCCTGTTCAGACGGGTGGACAGGGCCGTCCGCAGCCCAGAAAGAACAAGCGACTCTATCTCGTCCACCAGGATATACTGCGATAAATTCAGTGCTCGTGTGAAGCTTCTCTTGTCCGCAAAGAAGTTGAGAAAACACTCACTCAAATACGACTTGTACTCGAAAAACACCTGTCTGTTCATCTGCAGCAGTTGCTCGTGTTTCTGGAAAGGCCAGTCGTCCACGTCCAATCGCACGATCATGGACAGCTTGGCCAGCCCGTAGCATTTCGTCGCGTATTCCAGGTCCAGCTTGTGTTCTGGAATGTCCTCCACCATGCGTATGTACATATCAAATGGGTCGACCTGCCAGACCTCGAGACAGCGCACAAATTGGTCGAAAAAAACAGGGGAAGAGTGGTAGACAAGGTCTCTCAAGTACATAAGCACCTGGATCAGATCGTTCGGCACGTACGCCGTGGAGTTGGGCTTGGAGTCCTGCGTTTGGAATTTTTTCGTCAGCTCCTGGTTGAAATGCACAATTCTGTCGTGCCATTTACGGTACGAGCTTTCGGACTCAAAGTCTGCAGCGGAGTACCGATGCACCAGCGACGCGTCACTGTTGAGGTACTGCACAACATCAGCCTTGTTGAGCGAGATCCGTAGGTCTTTGATTTTGCTTTCCAGTTGTTCATTGGTCACACGGAACGCTTTCATGATTGCTTCTCGGTATTTCGGATCTCTGATATCGGGAGCCACTGTGAAGGACTCCGAAAGAACTTTGCTTCTTCGCGTGAGCAGCTTCGATCGCTGCGCGTCACTCGCTTTGCACAGAAGCAGCATATCGATCATCTGTATTCGGCTGATATAGTACACTTCCGGGTCTTTGGTCAATGTGTCTGCTATGAAGTGGTCGAAATTGTCGAGGATGGAATTCACATCCCAGTGTTTGAGTTCCTTGGTGTACTTGCTGTGAAATCCGTGTAGTAACTTGCGTGTGTAAGGGTTCAGGGCTATTTCTTTGTATGCTTGCAATGCCTTTAGTTCGTCAACAAACTGCCGATTTAGCACTTCGTCTCGGTTTCCAAAGTTCAGATGGAGCTTCTTGGTGGATATTTTGGGCTGCTTCGGTATGGACTCGATTTCGGCCACTTTGCGCGTGCGGAACTCGTCGTCGTACAAAAGCTGTACCCGCACAAAATACTCAAACACATATTTATTGAAATACGAATCCTTGGCGGAATCCATCGTGAAGGCGGCAGGTAT